CTGGAATTGGTCAATTATCAAGTAAACTCAATCCCGTAGTTGATTTATAAAAGAAAAAATATGAATGATAATAATAATGGCCACTCATTCCCAAGCACACCTGTATGCTAATGTAGCTAACCAATCCCTATTGCAGATGCCTGCTCAGGTACATTTGTATTTCTTTAGCACCCACAGATCCAACCTCTGGTTTATATTACAACTATGGTGAGAAGACCTTATTTACTGTTTCTGAGAGAGAGGACATAAACTAACCAACAGACAGAACAAGACCAGGACACTCATACCCTCAGTCATGATGACCTGTGACTTTGTGCAAGCACAATCAGTGGCAGGTTCCAAACCAAAATTGGTATACTTGAAAATGTTTAAAAGAACAGGCAAGGATCACTACTAAGACATTGACCTCATCAATTCATTTGTTTGTTTTTTTGTTTTTTTGGGGGTTTTAATTGACCCATTATGTTATCTCTCTTATTTGCCAGATATTCAGGAAATGTTTTTATTCATTGATGTTTACTCTGCTATTCACACATTTTTTCTTACCTCTGTCTGTCTAGTCTATCGGTGGCACAGTAGCACAGTTGGTTAAAGCCCTGGGTCCACATCATGACATCCCAGATTCAATCTCGGGCCGGCCCCGGGATTTGAGACAACAAACCATACAACGCCATCTACACCTGCACTCACAGACATCAAGAGCAAAGAACAACTCTTGTGTCACCTCTGACACCATTTTATCCACGACCAATACCATCACGTCTACCACCATTACAGCAGCTCAAGAGAACCCTTGGAAAATGGAACAAATTAAATCTCACAGACATACCATTCATATAGACAACATAATGGTAGGTTAGCGTGTTCATTTTGAACTTGGAACCAATTTCATGCATTTTCTAATTTGGCATGAAAGCATGGCTAACACATTTCTTCTTGACACTCACCTACTGATATTACCATTGCAATTACTATCTACCTCTCTGTGTTTTAATCCTAACATCCCATCCAGTTTTTCCTCACTCACAAAACAAATTGGGCTGTAAAAGTCCAACACTAATAAATTTTGAATTGATTTCTTTTTGTTAATATTCCAAGTTAGCCAACTCTATTTTAAAAGCAACTCTAAAAGTTGCAAATAGCACAATCCCAAATTTAGTAGCAATGGAATTTCAAAAGTAACCTCATCTGCAAGTCCTGTCGGCAAGATTTCCCAGGACCCTGAACACTGAATTTAGCCTTTATCTCTAACTAATATAAATAATTTTTCACTACTCAACAATTATGCTATTTGAGAGTAAAATCAAAGAAGTGGTGATATAGTCAGCATCTTTCTATCTTTTTATGTTTTATAAGCTCTAAACAAGACGACCATGACTGAGATTCTGGAATTTAACAAAACATTTCAAGCAACTCATTCTAATCTTTTCATCGAAAAGGTTTCTTTGACAATAGATATAATAGCAATCTTACTGTTGAAGAATCAGGCTTTCTCATATCTTTGAAGGCATTCTGGGTTTCAAATTTTCAAATTTGTTATTCATGCCATAAATTTATCACATTGGTTAGCAGTTTTGTGTTGTTACTTTTCATAATCCATAATGTTGAAGATTTTGCTTGTGCCTTTTTGGACATTATCTTAAGTGCTGCCTATTCAAATTTAAAATCATTTTGTCCCTTCTACTTTTGTTAGCTTATTCTTTAGGCCAATGCATACTTTCCCATCATTGATAAAAAATTCTTAGAAATAAAAATTCAAGAACCTGGTTCGTAATTAATCTTGATCAAAGTAACAGAACTATATTTCTTTTTCACTTCGTATCTATACACATGCATTAAACTTTAACAGTATCTTCAAATGTGATGAGTTGTATAACAGTTCTCAATTCGGAAAATGAGATCTGCAAACTAAGATCGAATTTAGTCTTTTACTGATGTTTATTTTGCACTAATGCCTTTAAAAAAGTGAAGATCAAACATTGTGATCCAGTTTCAAGATGCCAAAATCAAACAAGTAAAACAATTTAAATATAGAAGATGTGTTTTCACAGAGGATGTGAAGTATGACTCTGAAATCTGAAGGTGCATTGGGATAGCAAAAGATGACTTGCAGAAGCTAAACAAAGTATTAAGAAACAGGAAAATTTCATTAGAAACAAAGAAAAGAATACTGAACTTTTATGGGATATCAGTCCTCCTATATGGCAGTAAATACTGGACAATTTCCTCACTGATGAAGAAGAGACTTGAAGCAACAGAAATATCGTTCTAAAGAAGGATGCTGAGAAGGATGGACTAAACATGTGAGCAATGACAGTTTTTTGTGAAAAAAGAGCAATAACAGTTAATGAATATTTTTGTAATGATTTTTTCCATCCTTATTCTTGTAATTTTCATTTCATACCATCTTCTCATTAAGCATTAGAATTTTGTTGATAGTAACCCTATACCTTGAATAACTCTTGAGTCTTGTATTGAATGAAATTTAGTATAAAACAAAAACTTCAAGAGTCAAGAAAGAACTTATAAACTTCTAGTGCTGTGATAAAACACTGAATTTTGATGAACTAATAATAATGCTAATGGTAATATTAACCATTTCCTTACAAGGAAATATTCAAAATTCATTGACCAATCAGTGTTACTTTTGTTTCAAATTGATAAAATCTTTATCTTAAAACAATTTTTCTCAAGTCCAGTAACTGTTATTGCTCTTTCCAGTATTGATGAGGATTTCCTTCCTAACCTTTTGTTTGAAGTTGTGTATAAGATCAACATCTTGATTAGGTCATTATTATTTCTTTGAGTTACATGTGCTATCCATTTTAGCTACAGGTTTCATTGGCTCAAAGACATTTTTAATCATAATCAATGAAAGCTGTTGTAGACAGCTGATAGTTTAGATATTTCTGAAGGAGTTTTGTGTGATGTATGACATCCATATATATATATATATATATATATATATGATTTTTGTTAAGTACATACTAATACTCTGTTTGCTTTTTTCATTTCTATTCTTGATCTCTGGTGAAGCCTTAATAAGGGTGAAACATGTTAGATTGAGACCCGTTTCCTACTTGCTCTTTATTTTATTATCTTTTCAGATTCCTATACATATCTGATCTACATTTGATCTTCAACTGTATATTGCTACTAAGATACAAGGGATTAGTGGGAGTTGAAGAGAATGAGATGACTAGTTGAAGAGAAAGGACAACACAAAAATCAAGAAGACAGAAGGTGGTAATTAACACTGCATTTAAATATTTGAAGAGTATAAGTAGCAGGGAAGCAAGAAACTGAAAGAGAGTTCCACAAGCAAGAAGTATGAGAAAAGAAACTATTAGAATAGAACATATGGTTATATCTATCTATTTCAACAGTAAAATGATGAGGCCTACATGCCACTTTAGTCAGTCTGTCAGTTATGTGCCATGTGTGATACTCACTTAGGCAATCATGTATCTTTCGATACATGACTGACAAGGCAGATTTTTTCCCACAGTAGGTTGCCATTTCTTTCTGCAGTAGACTAGTTGCCATCCAAGGCTATAGAACCTGGTCTGTCCTGCTATTTACCCATAGCTGGAGGGAGAAGAAGAGGTTTCATACCTTTCCCAAGGGTATTAGCACATAAGTGAATGTAATGGATTTGACTTGAATTCGAACTCGGCTCTCTGATTCCTCAATCTGAGTCACTAGCCATTATTCCACCATGACTCTTCTAATATGTTTAAATTCATGCAGTCAAGTCACCAAGGTGGAAAGCTCATTAGAACAATAACCATGAAAATATTTGTAGAAAAGACCAGAGGGGTGTCATGTCGTGGAGATGAGAAAATGACTGAAATCGAGATGGCTGGTTAGAATCAGTTACATTACAGACCCTTCTTTGGATTTTTTAAAAGTCTTGAGATATATGGTAGGAGCACCAGACCAGATATGACAGCAATATTCAATGCACAAATAAATGGTAAATTTATAAATGTGCAAGATGGATTTTGGCAAGAAAAATTAACTGGTATGTACAGTGAAACAACTTTTCAAGCAGTAGACCTAGCTATTGATTCATTATAATCGCTCCACTTATTTAAGAACATGACTCAAGTTTTTAGGTGAGTGTTTTAGTTGTGTAGCAATTTGTGGTGTTGGGAAAAACTACCAAAACTATTAACTAATATTTATGCTTCAAATACTGACAGGATATTTGTTCTCTAGGTATCTGCAGTTAGTGCAACTAAATTTGTTTAATTTCATTTTCAGCTTTTTCTTCCTTTTTGCGGTTAATTTATTTTCTTGTTGAATCTCATATAGAGTGAATTTTTTGTATGCTCCCATCACCTTACTGACTTTACTAACTTCCGATTAGAAAAATCAGTGTTGTATGAAGAAACACTATTTCATATCAGCTTGATTAGAAGTAAAAAGAAAAAAGAATGATGGTTGTGTAAAAATGTGTCTTAATTTGCTAATATTTTGCTGATTGCTTCAGGAACCAGTTTCTTGGTCGGAAGGGGCAGAGCATGGGTTGGTCAGAGGATAAATGAATTCCAGATTTTTTTTTTTGTCACTTTTGAAAATCTTGAAAAAGAATACTTTTTTTTTTTCTAACAAACTATTTTTACTACCCCCAACATTGGACATCTTTTTATATGTTTTTTTGTTTTGTTTTTTTTTTTTTTTTTGTGGAACACATTTTTTATCATGCTTAACCCACACCCATACACTTTCACCACTGCCTAACCTATTATGAATAGTTACCTTCAAATTGCCTCATTTGCATCAATCATCAATCATGACTTAAAAGTAGATCATACCAATCTTGGCACTTTTTATTTATCTAATATATATATATATATATATATATATATATATATATATATATATATACACAGACTAAAGGAGATAGATATGTACAGACTAATGGAGATAGAAACAGATTAATGGAAAAAGATAGATATGAACAGACTAAAAAATAGAGAGAGAGATATGAACACAGTGTAATAGATAGATATGAACAAACTTATGGAGATAGATAGATATGAGCAGACAAAAACAGAGAGATAAATATGAGCAAACTCAAGTAGATAGATATGAACAGACTGATGAAAATAGATATGAACAGACTGATGAAAATAGATATGAACAGACTGATGAAAATAGATATGAACAGACTGATGAAAATAGATATGAACAAACTGAAGTAGATAGATATGAACAGACTGATGAAGATAGATATGAACAAACTGAAGTAGATAGATATTGAAACATCAAGCAAACAAGGTAGTGTCATTCATACATACATAGATACATACATAACAAATGGTTTTTTAAGTAGGTGAATAGACAACAATTCTTTTCAGCAGTGTACAAGGGACAGTAGAGTAGGTGGCGATGAAAGAAATTGTTTTTGTTACTCTTTTTTACTTTAATATTTGAAATTTTATTGACAAGGGTCTAGAAATTCTGCCAACAATACTTACACTGTTAATTTCCCTCTGCAGAGAATTTCTTTCCCCCTGCCCAACCAGAAATCTTGAGTGTAACCGTTTCATTCACATTGCAGCTACTTGATTCAGTTTTAAAAGTTGGTTGATTTTGTTTCCTCACATTTTCAGCATCCTGATCTCTTCCAAATGTGTTGAGATCACACAAAGTTCATTAATTTCTAACACATAATTGTTTGTTTCCAGAGAACAATAAGTACAAATAGATTCTGACTTTATTATTATAATAAACAGAATCTACATTAATACATTGACTACTCACCAAGACCTTACAGAAGAGCATCAGTTCACATACTGAAATAGGTTCTTTTCATCCAGATTAATTCAATAAGAAATGACAGAATTTCTAACACTTTTCTGTTGTTAATAATAATAAATAAGTTCTTGAAAGATACATTTTTTTGCACTTAAATGGTTTTTTATTTCCACCCCAAAATTAACAATACATTCTGAACAACAGTGTTTATATCATCATTTTTATGGGAGAATAAATATTACTAAATAGAATTTTTCAGCAATCTGTATCGATTAGAAAATGTATTAATTATAAATGTTAAATTTACATACTATCAAAAACAAAAGGTTTGGGAGGAAAGTGTGCTAACACTAGATTTGGGAAGTTAAATTTTCTGAAAATGTTTTAAGAGAAACATTTTATAAATTTCAACCGATAGTAGCATTAACTGTTCAGTTAATGAATGCCAAGTGCTTCCTATCTGGAAACGAATAATTTCACCCTAATCATAACTACATTTAATTATAAGTTGCCATCTTAATGCTAAGATAAATAGAAATTAATGCAATTTATTCTACAGAATCTCAGGTGCATGCAGAATTGTTAATTGTACCTGACCAATTTATTTGTGGTATCAAAAAAAGACTAAACTTTGCAATTGTATTGTACTAGAAAAGTTTATGCTTCTCCACATTTTCTTGTTTATGTTCAATATTTCCTGAATATTAAATGAAAAGGAAAATAGTACTTGATCATCTGTCATGCCCTCTTGATACAAAAAAAGAGAAGAAAATAATTATAATAAAATAAATTTTAATTTATACATATATTTGCACATATCTTTAAAAGTTTATTTAACTTCAGGACTAATTATTATTTAAGAGTTTCTTTAACTTAATTTTTTAAAATAAGCAGGTAACATTTGTATGTCACTAGAAAATTCTACTCTATATTTTTATTTTTTATCATTTCATCACAAGCAAGGCAATAAGGCCACTAAGACACAAGAGAATAGTGTTAGAGAATATGAGAAAAAAAAGACTATTAAGGAGAGAGAGGACAATAAAAGAACAGGAATTAAGAAGATAGAGAATAACAATTAAATTTGCATTTAAATTTTTGAAGATCAAAATTTACTGGGAAGCAAGAAGCCAGAAGAGAGCTTAACAAACAAGAAGTGCAATAGAAGAAACTGTTAGCATAGAATTTAAGGTTTCATCTAACCATTCCAACTGTAAAATGATAAGACCTTGCTGCCAATCAAGCTTTGCACTTAAATTTATAAAGTCTAGGTACAATAGGGGAAAGTTCATCGTAACAATTACCATGAAAGTGTTGGAATATATAGGTTAAGGAAAAGTCTTAGATTCAAGTTATAATGGTAAAAACATTTATTATTATTACAAAAGCTAATACGAACATATGTTCTCCCCTACACAGAAAGTGTAGTGTAACCTACCAGAGGAGTCCATTGTTGACACAGATAACAGGTATCTGAACAGGTCTGTGATTCCCTTCGTCTGGATTTGATCCTCTGGCTAAGGAGTAGATCCCAGGTCCTTGTGTGAGAGTCTTTCCTCTATGCCAGTTGCTGTGCATGTCCAAGACCTTGATAGCTATCACATGTTTTTTTTTTTACTTCTATGTAGGGGGAGACAACCTTTTTCACCAACATAACAAAAGCATTTGTAGAAAAGACACAGGGAAGCTCTAGAATTATAAATGGGAATTTGAATATGTCTTTGTTGTGGACTCTTTCTAATGATGAGAAAAAGAGTTATATGCACAAAATATATATGAATAAATATGGATCTCTGCATAAGTCTTGTTCAATGAGTTGTTTTTTTTTATGAAGCACTTCAACACTTCGGTCAAAACTTTATGGAGATCCTGCTTAAGGTATATCCATCACAGCATCTGGGCCACATATAGTTTTAAATTCAGAGTTGTCCTTCTTCTTCAAGAATGATTTCTAAACACAACTAGAGAACCCAATCTGCCCTACCATTTAACCCATAGCTGGAGGGGTTAAAAGCAGTAGGATCATACCTTTTTTACAAAGGTATTTGTGTATAAGTGAATGTAATGAACTCGAATTTGGCTATCCGATTACTCATTCTAAGTGGGTATTTATTACACCATGATGATATATGATTCCCAATTAATCTTAGAAGTTTCAAAACATTTTCTGCACATGCATTTATTTCAGTTTGGAAATATATATATATATATATATATATATATATATATATATATATATATATATCAGATAAAGTAAAGAGAAAACATTTCTTTGACAATGTGTTTGTTTTGTCCTCTTATGGCAACTGAATTTTTACAAACATGCATATATATATATATATATATATATATATATATATATATATATATAATGCTATTAATAAAATAGTGCTCGATGTAATACAATGGAGCTAAAAAGAACAAGTAATCTCCTTCAACATAAAAAATAAAAAAATTAATATTCACAACTCTAAAATAAATTTTTATTTTTTATATATATATATATATGTATATATATATATATATATATATATATATACAAACCCCATTTATTTTAAATGCCAAATATGATTTTTTAAATTAAAAACTATAATTCCAGTATAATATATAACTGCACCAACCAGTTATTTTTAAAAATTTAAATTACATCATGTTCACTCTGAAGATTGCGTTGAGCATGAAACTTTGAGTCATGCTATCAGTGAGGGATAATATATATATATATATATATATATATTTATATATATACATATATATATTTATATATATATATGAAGAAAAATATACTGAAAAAACAAACAAAAATCCTAATATGCGATTATGCTGTTTTAATGTTTAATGTCAACGTCGGACGATTCGGTCTAATAAACCATCTTCAGGACATATTCATAAAACATAATTAACATAGACCATATACAATTCAACATGACGTGATCATATTTAAATGGAACGCTGATCTTATAAAAGATTTCAGTTATCTCTTTGGATTGGTATTGTTTTTATGTCCATCGTCTTTTTCATGTTGAATTGTATATGGTCTATGTTAATTATGTTTTATGAATATGTCCTGAAGATGGTCTATTAAACCGAAAAGTCTGACGTTGACATTAAACATTAAAACAGCATAATCGCATATTAGGATTTTTGTTTGTTTTTTCAGTATATTTTTCTTCATACTGTCGGATATATATCCATATATTTGCTTACATATATATATATATATATATATATATATATATATATATATATATATATAATAATCTACATCAGGCAGCAAGGCCTCTGAGCAGAAGATTAGAGGTTTTGAGGAGCATAGAAGTACCTCTTAATTGTTGTTGCTCCGAGGTCCACCCTGACCCGGGTTGATACCACCTGTTAGGGTCCCAGCTACAGACAACCAATGAACCCCAAGCAGAAACAAAGTACTATGAAAATGTGAAAGTGCATTTTTGTGGTAAAAATATCAGCAATGCATTTTTGCATAAGGAAATTACCAACAATACATATTTATAGTAAAATTACCAATAATACATGTTTCTGTTGAAGTTATCAGTAATAAATTTATAGATAGATTACCAACAATATATTTTTAAAGTAAAATGACCAACAGTACATTTTATAGTAGAATTATTAAAATACATTTTATATCAAAATGATGAATGATACATTTTTTCTGTAGTTGAAAGCATACAATTGTGTTCAAAATATATTTAGTTGAATTTGTGTTCAAAATATTTAGATTTTAGCATTAAATAACCGACAGAGTTTGATATGCCGCTAAACAAAATCAACCAAACACCTAACCTGAAAGAATTCTTTCATGTCATTAATCCATATAATATCCAGCAATTTCTTGAAATCAAACACACATATCCCTGTCTCTCGTAATTATGTCCACACAAACATATATATGCACAAAAGCCGAGTATCATCTACCATGTATTCATTTGTGAAAGCAGAATGACATATATCATATTTTTATTACTTCAAAGCTCCCAAGAAAATCAAATTTCAGCATTAAATGACCCATAAGGAGTTGATATGCCATTAAACAATCAATCTTTTTACATATATAGTGACCTTAAAAATGGTAGCAGTAGCAGGTTTACCTTAAAGATAGTAGCAGTTGTAGCTCTAAATAAAACTTAGCAGCAGCAGCTCTCAAATATAAAATCATGTGAACCCTAAAGTAATTCTCTCTGGGGTTTTCCTCTTTTGAACTGGTGTCATGAACTTTCCACACTGAAGCTAAAAGGTGTGCAAATTCTTCACCCATAAAACACACCAACAAATTAAGATCCTACTATAACATATTAATGAACATGAGCACCTCGAGGTGGTGTAATGGTTATCAAGCTTGTCTTTGCTAGAACAATTACGACTGAGTAGGGAGTTCAATCCTCACTGGGTGCCCCATACTTTTGGCCTTGTGCCACATCTGAGCTGCGCTTGGAAAATCGCTATAACATATTAATGAACATTTTTTTGTGTATACAATTTACATCTAAGAAAAGAAACTCTTGTTTTAAACTTTACTTTTGTTAATTTTGCTTTAATAAATGTTATGCTTGTATTGCAAATCAATTGGTCTGTTATTTTGTGCAGGTACTCTTCTTCATCACCTTTATTTCTTGTACTATAAAATGTTCCCATAGGAAACCTTACATATTTAATTATTGAAGTAGCTAATCACTGTATATATATATATATATATATATATATATATATATATATATTTTGGTTGGATTGATGAGTTTGTGACCCTGGGTTTCATGCTCTTGTGATTGTCAGACAAACTAATATTTATATTTATATACACACACTTTTCACATATATATATATATATATATATATATATAAATAAAAAAAGAAAGAACAGTAAGATATAAAATCCGGTGTTCTTATAGATATTTTATTTTTACAAAATAGTGCTCAATGTAAATTTACAGAGCATTAATATTATAAATTAATTGATTTAAAAATATGGTTATTTTCGCTACACAGTTCCAACCATGTTTCAAAACTCCAAAATTCGCTTGAAGATGAAATGGAACTAATGCTTTTAATTTATTTGCAAAAAATAAAATTAGGGGTTTTAGCTCCTATTTTGAAACATGGTTGGAACTGTGTAGCGAAAATAACCATATTTTAAATCAATTAATTTATAATATATATATATATATATATATATATATATATATATATATATATATATATATATATATATATATATATCTTAAGAGAGAGCGAGAGTGAGCACATGGCTGAGAGGGTAGGCCATTAGTATTCCAACCATGAAACCTGGGTTCAAATCTCAGCATGGTTGATTTGCTAAGGAGGTGACTTCTTAATAATACCAGCCTAAAGAGATGATCTCAGTGTGCAGCATTGTTAAGAAGTGTCTAAAAATCATACCACAGGTTGACACAAACCTTGTGAGTAAAACTGGTACATGGTTTTTAGTGGTTGTTCTAGCATGAACCTACAAGTCATTGTGACTGAAGGTTTGAGTGTACTAGACTTGTTCAAACTGTTGATCATGCCAGATTATACACTCTCTCCCCCTGGCAACTGTAATTAAGGGCTGGTTAGAATAGCTGCAATATAAACCACAACCTGACTTTGTGGGTGTTAAACACACATATGCCTGAGCAGATGTCAGCAACGGACATTAGCTCTCCACCCTAGCAGACAGGCATATATGGATATGAGTGATAAGCCATACATAAATATTGATATGTATTTAAATAATGTGTGCTTTGACAACAGTCCTTCTTTAATACATATTTTATTAAAAACCACTGCTTAATATAAATGATGCTTTGTAATAAAACTAATATTTTATAAGGGTGTTGCTATTCTTGATAGAACATAACAGTACTGAAGATTATGAATACGTGATTGTAGATATTTTTTAAGAATCTTATCTGAAACAGAAAATGTTAGCCTTTTTGGAGAAAAAAATTTTGGTTTGGCAGGGCATATTTGATGAGTTGACTTTCATTCGCATTTTTGCTAGCTGCATGAAAGGGAACATTATTCAAGCACTTCTGGATGAAGAAGATCTTGATATTTTTCCAAAGAGATGGATTTTGTCAGGTGGCCAAGAAATTCTCCTCTCCTCAACCCTGCCAAGAATCTAGAGCCATCACAAAGGAGTACATTGAAAATATCCTGTTGGATCTGCCCAAAGAAAAGCCTAATTCTTGACAGCATTTGATGTGGGTGATTAGCAAAGTTTGTGAGAAATTGAAAGGGTAATAGCAAATGTTCCAAAACCTATTTAAAACCAGATTGGATTTGTGATGCTGTACCAATGCTTAAATATATCAACTATATTTATATTAATATATAAGTTTTAAATTCTAGCCAAGAAAGAACTTTTTTGGAAATTTAGACACATGTGTTTTGGTACAAGAGAAATAAATGTAATAAGTGATACTCTGGCTCACACTCCTCCTGGTTTATAATAGGTTTATCCCTTGTTGCCTGTTTAGGTTTCATTTTCCAGTTCCTTCTAAAGTCTTCTAATTCTCTTTTATCTCCAGTAGCCCCTTGCATCTTAGTGTCATTATTGC